TCGTATCTATAACTCGCTCTTGCGCATGCGCGCAATTCACGAGTTAAAAAAAGCCTGAAGAAGTTTAATTTCGAAATTAAAAATACTTTAGGATTTTTGACGCCAGTTATGCATGCAGTATTGTCTAAATAAGAGAAAGATACATAAGACAAAGTTAATTTTTTTTAGAGTAAGATTAGGTAAGCAGTAATTAAGAAAACTGATAACGCGAGTTTTACAAAAACAGGAGTATTTTTATGTGATATGACAAGTCAAAACTTTTAGTATTTCGGGAATATTATGTCAACATTGATTTTTTCCCCTTTTTTGTTTCGGACGTGGTAGAAACTGAAGTTCAAAAACTGAAACTTTTTATTTCCAATCCATTAAATTTACAAAGTTGGACTGATTAATGTAACCAGTATTACAGTATAATTTAGTCGAAAGAAAGAACACTATACTCCTGCAAACTCACCTACTCTATTAATCAACATGTGATTTTCTTACTGAGGAGGAACTTTTGAAGGCAATACAGTAATTATCCTAAATAAACTCACTTAAGCCTATTGCGGACTATAATTAATTTAGCTCACCACTGACAAAATCTCACGGTTGTCTTCAAATATCCCTGAAATGTACGATCGTCCACAATAGCTCTCTCTCGGTTTACCTTTCCAGACAATCATTCTCTCCCGACAACAGCAACAATTATTTCGACGACTGAGTCTTTATATACATTTAAAACGTATTCTGGAACTTTCGGAAGACTACAACACAACAATTTTTCTGGTATTACATCATAAAAACATAACCTAAGAAAATGTTCCAGAAAGTTCCTTGTATATGATAGTAGAAAGTTCGTGTATGCATCACTAAGAATTTTAGAAAAACGACATATAATTTCTGCGATATGGATGAAATTTTAAAGCTGATAAGTCTTTGAATTCTTTTAATCAGAAAATCTTGAAAAAAGATCATAAATAAGAGATATTTAACGAAAGTGGAGGGAGACGTGCGATTGGAGATTAAAACGTTGTAGAGCCATTCGCTCCGACGAAGGGCTAACGCTCGAAACGCAGGTTTGAAACCGTTTCGGCGGCCAATTTACGTCATCAACTTAGTTGATAATACCAAATTATTTTGTTATACTCTCCCACCGATGCGGCACCACAGTTTCTATAGAAACTTACCCCGTCTATAGATTTTGTTCACACCTGAGCATGAGTTGAGACATGCATAGGTCGATGGAACGAGTTAAGTTTCAACGAATGTGTTCAACTAAAGCATGAAAACGTTGGCTGCTTGCAAAGTTCCTTGTTTTCTAAGGTTTTCCAGCTTTATGTGGCATTCTTTACTGAAATTTAAATCCGTTGAGTTCATCCGATTGCCGAGATAGGAGTTATTCTTCCTTTTTGGTATCACCGACTTCGAAGAAGAGGAATCTTGAGTCGAAAAGCAAACGAGGAACTCACTGTCATGTTTCTTCCAACTGACTGTTAGGATCCATGGTCAGAGTCTCACAGGATGCTCCGTATCACACAGTTGTCCAGTTATTTGAATTTTTTTCATCTGTGATTTTAGCCTGTTCCTCTTTTACTAACCCTTAAATGACAAAAGATCAAATTAATGGTCATGTTGGGAGAGGAGAGTGTACATATGATAAATCTTTCTGTTGCTTACACCTTACGACATATCAATTATGCAAAACAATTCAAAACAACAGAGCTTAGGAACATAACACTGACAGAACAAAGAAAAATTGCAAAGTTTTTACACCGAGGTAAGCCGGAATAATGAGTCACACCTCACGTTAGTAGCGGATATCATGAATGCCATTGTTTCCTTAAAGTTCTTGCATGTATCCCTTAAACATTTAATAAATTTGAAATTTGAGGGATGAAGTGATCGTCACTTGCAAAATTTAACTCACCCTCTCTCGACAACTGATCCAACGCTTCCCGACAATCTGCGCGTTGCAAGGCGTCACAAAGCTCTCTCGTCGAAGCATTCCTTTCCCCTCTCATCCATATTAGGAACCCTTGATAACATTTTTCCGAAATTGTCCTATTTTCCGCGTCTAGAACTTCTATTCTGACATTCTCCAAGCCCAGATACCGAAGAACTGTTTCCCATCTCGCAATCCTTTGATGTACGCAAAGTAAGTGTCTTTCTGTGACAGGCTCGTCATTACTGCCTAACGAGGCATAACTTTGCCTCAAAGCATCTCCTGTAACATCTGCAGTTACTGTAAGAAAAAACAAACTCATTTTTCAGAACAACTTGTATTTAAACTTATATTTAGAACATTTATCAATCCATGAGTATCGAAGGAATGATGCTACATCTCTCTGAACTGTTTCTTAAAGCAGCGTTATACAACATGTTCCATATACGAACTATGATTTCTTGAGGATTATCCTAACTTTGTCAACTAACAATAACAAAAACAATGGCTACATTGCCAACCTGTATTTGTTCCGTTTTCAATATTTTGGCCGCTTTCGCATTCCTCTCGCCTCTCTGAAGCAAAAGTTTCTTCTAACACGCTTGATTCGTTTGAGGGCTGGATTTCGTTGGAAGACGAGGGAATAGTCTGTATGCAGAGAAAGTTCATAAATAAGAAGAAAAAAAAGAAGTAATAATGACCACCTACCTTCTAACTGATTCTCCTTTATCTTTCAACCAGGTTTTTATGCTCACGTAATATCAGTATCTGGGCAACTACCCACCTACCCCTCCCCTAACCCAACAACAGTCAATTGATAACACGTTAGGGTTAATTTTGGGTTAGGGGAGGAGCAGGTGAGCATTTACCCAGATACTGATATTGATCCCTCACGTGATTGCCTCTTGTTTCGATTATCTCACGTTTACATCACGAAAGTTTAGTCAGCTCAGATATCGAGAAAGTGGTTAGAACAAGTCTCGAATGGCGTGCCTCTGCAGCGCGAATATTTTACGACTGGGTGCGAATGCTATGCGACTGGAGTATGAATGCAAGATGATTGGGTACGAAAGCTTGGCGACCGGAGTTCGAGTGTTAAACGACTGGATACGAGTGCGAGTGCGAGTGCGACCGAAGTACGAATGCCATACCTCTGGGGTCAAAATTAACACTACTAGAGTTCGATTGGGGAAGGAGTATTATGCGACAACATGGATACGTTACCTCGCGTAGGTCATAGCCTGGGTTTAGATAGATTGTGTGTTCTTTGTTGGTTTCCTCCTGCTGGAACCAAAGAACACATGAAAATGGTTTAACATTTTTCCCTGTGGGTTTCACAGCAAAATCGCATGAGTCATTGGAGCGAAATCCATTGTGATACGCGATCTCGAAAGGGTATGTCTGTAAGAAGAAACATTAAAGAAATACACGTGTTAGTTATAATCAAAAGCCTTTGACGGCCTCTCTCTTTCGTACAAAGCGGTGGCGAAAGCAAGACTTTTTGACAAAGGGGTCCTATATCAGCGTCTTTTCGGAATCTAGGAGCAAACCAGTGTTCTTTTAATCATAATTATTAGACAGGCACCAAAGGAGACCCCCACCCTCCCCCCCTCTCCATTCGACCTTTTCTCCCTACATTGCGTATAAACAATAAATAACTAATGACCATAAAATTGTAACAATACCAATTACGAATTTGCATGATAGTGTTCGCCTTTGAAGCGACAAGCGTTTCAAACAGTATTTACTCAACAAACCGACTCAATACACAACATCATACGGGATCATGCAAGAGAGACGTATATGTGGTTATTATTTTTTCTAATTTATAATTAAATCATAGTTACCTGAATAGCTCCAGTCTTGTCGAGCTCCCATCCGTCTTGAATCTCTGTGAGTTTCACAGCGATATTGTTACCGCCATTATGTATCGTACAAGGTTTCTCCTTAGCTGCCTTCCACGAGTCTGGAAAACGTTCTTTGTCTCGTGTTTCAACTCGCTGTAGTATACAAAAAGATTGCGCACAATTATTTCACGGGAAAATCGTTAACATTTGTCGTCTCTGATATGATATTTAAGATTATTTCAATAGAGATGCATCTGAATGAGGCCTGAATGTAGAACAACATTCAGCACTTAATTGAAATGAAATCTGATAACGTCCTCGTTTAACGAGATACATGACTCAAGGAAACTGCGTTAGAGTCTCGAACTTAAGAGCGATCTGGGAAGAGGGAAAGATTTGTTTAACAGTCCTTCATTTTTCTCACTCACCTGCGTAAATTAAAAAAAAAATCTCCATGTATGAAATTTTTACAGTCGACTCCAAGAGAATATCAACTGTCGATATTCTCTTGTTGACTATGAATATGACTTCCGGCTAATATTGCCGAAACGTCGGAGACTAAATACTACGGGAAAAAAATCTTTTTCAGAACTACTTTCTCCCGAATGATCAAACTTCACAATCCGCGTCTAGAACATTGCTGAGCCTAGAAGTATGCAAAACTCTTGCTATACCTACGCATTTAGTATATGGCCTTGCAAATTGTTTATATAGCTCAATTGTTATATTATCCTGTCGCGAATTCGGGATGGGTTTGGGTTCGAATTTAGACAGAGACACGCGCAATGATGGCATCTGTGTATCACCCTTCCCTCAATTCTGAGAACTTTTGTATCCAAAATCGAAGGGGTTATAAGCCTTCTGATCACCTACCTTCTTTGAATCCTCGCTATCACCGTAGATGTAGAACCTGAGATAAATCAAATCGCTTGATGGGCTTGGTCTGCTGAAGAAAACAGTCGCTCTCTTCTTTTTTGATCCACCACATGCAAAAATGCTCCAAAAAGAGAAGGTTTTTGTTTTAATGTGGATGGAATCTTTTTTTACCGTGAACCATGCCTTAGATTGGCCATTTTTCTCCGATGCTGATGGAACCTTTTCCCATTGGATTGTTCCTTTAAAAACATAACTATAATTATAATTGTGCAGTGTATATTTTTGTTTACTTAAAGCTGATCTATCCATAGCACTGCATTCAGTCTAATGGGCACAACTGAAAACTTATCCCAATGTCAGAGCGGTAGCTGTGACTAAAAATATTGCCACTCCCCATCACATAATAGTTAAAATGATCACAGAATACCTCTTTCCTTCTTTAAATTTTTTCAAGTCATCTATACTTTTGTGGACGCTCATGGGTTTGTTATCTTGTTCTCTTCTTTCCGACCGTGAGCTTAGCCACGCTCCATCGACTGTTTTTGCGCG